TTCCTCCTCTCTACATTTGTCTGCATGGGCGGCACGAAGCAATAATGTGAAGAAAATTAAGGTGTCATTGCATCGCTTTATCTCTATTTCTGCAGATGAGTCGGTTGTTTTGTTTAATAAAGACCTCGCCTTGAGCTGCTCTCCACGCCGTCACAATGCGTCTAAGAAAAGATCTTAATTCTAATACTGGTAAATTAAAAAGTAAAACGATTCTGTTTGTGTTGATGATAAATTATCTCCAATTTCTGCTTATAAACACAGCCTGTTTACACACATTTCAAAGGTCTTCCAGGCAGCCGCTGCATTTGCAGCAGATGCTTTTCTCACTAATTAATGCCAGTGAAGACAACTCTGACATTCAACAGAAATGCATCTTCTCGCTCACTTCATCACACGCACACAGAGAGAGAGAGAGCAAGTTTCTGCCGCTTCTCATCCCTCTGCCTGGCACATGTACACAAGCTATAGGTTAATTGGCTGATTCCCAGGTGGATGCAGGGATTGTGATGATGAAAAGTCAGAGCGAGAGACCGAGTAAAAAACTAAAAATAATGTTGAGCGGGACGGGAGAGGAATGAGGGGGACACTGGGACCAATTTGCTGTCTTCTCCCATCATTAACTGGGAGCTGGACTGGGTCATTAGCTGATCTGTCCTGTGAGCCGCTGTCAGGGAGCAGGATGGAGGAACACCTGCTGAAGGTGGCAGATGGCAGAAAAAAGAGCCAAGAAATAGACGGTCATTAGAGGAAAGGGGGCTGATTCAGCTCCTGTTATATTTTTTCTAATTAATCATTTAAAAACAGTGTAATGTGGAGTGTGTCACTGACAGACGGGTATTTTTAATCCTCCAAGTGGGAGAAATGAAAGCAGACGGGATGGCTGAGTAAAATGAAAAATATCCACACATGTAGTCTTTTTTTCCCTTTTTGTGACATTTTTATGTCTTAAATAATAAAATAATTTTAATATCATTACACACAGATAACTCAAGTATGTAGAAGATCCTAAATAGTTTTCACATTATCATTTTGTATTTACTCAAGTTTTCTTTGTCTCATATATAAAAATTGGCTTGACAATTGAAAATATTTAAGTGCAACACAAAACAAAAAAAAACTATATTCAGTCTTATTTATTTTTTTATTATTGATTTGTTCATTTTCAAATCCTAATTTAGTGAGCTGAATTAATGAAATGCTACTATATCCAAATTTAAATGACCAGGCGTAACATATTCAATAAATCAGAAATAAATTCAGTAAATACAGGTTTACTTCTTAAATCTGCATTTCTGTTTTTGAAAATAGTTTTTTAATTGGTTTGATGTAATTTTATACTTTAAATTTCAAGTGAAACTGGAAAATCGTCAGTTAACAGAAACAAAGCCCTTGAAGACTCAGTCTGTGTCGTTAACCAGTGTAATGTGTTCATTGGGGTTTGCTCAGAGCGTTGCGTGGAGAGAGCAGCGACGTAGGCGCTGCATGGCAGGAAACTATTCACCTGACAGAAAGTCTCTTTATTATTGTCTTTGTTAATTCATGGACGTTAATGTGGCATGTACCGCTGCGTGACCACATATGTGGTATCAATATGTGCAGCTTGATGGCGGCATTGGAGTTATTACTTGTGGTGGGGTTTGGAGTTACCATGGCGACATAATTAACAAAAAACGACCCCCAAAGATCCCAGAGGAAAACTGGAGTGTAACTGGTGATCTGTTAGAGTGGAGGAAGGAGTCCCATTTTGACCCCAAAACGATTCTGAAATCGCCGTCAAATATCGGTATCAAACTCGGTCATAACATCGATTCGCATGCCGGCTCCGGTAAAATGTTTCCGAAATTTCACGAGGGCTTACGGTTTTCTGTCAAGGTGCTTCAGAGCATCAGTTACCCTGACGCTCATGGGTTTGTGTGTTTTCATACTTTTCGTGTTCATATTTTTCTGAAAATTTTGAGAGCTCAGCGCAGACCATTTGTTTCTCATCGCTGCTAATACTGTAATGCCCAGTTCACGATTTTTTGCCCCGATTTTGCCCTTACGACAATCTTAGAACGTTCTGAGTTCTAAGATCGTCGCTTCCGACAATTGATCATCCTATTGTGTGTTACGACTGATCGGGTCCAGTCGGTGGAACGTCGGGACCGCTTTGATCTAAATGTCTGTGGTGTTTCCCCGACTGGGAGCGAGAAGCAAATCTGTTGTGACAAGTAGCCAAGCATCATGCTATTGGATCGTTATTTTATTTTTAAATGAAAGATAATTATAAAATTATTGCACAGAGTCCATCTGGTTGAGAAGCGCATTCCAGTCTTTGGTTGAAATACCGCATTTGATTTTATTCTGCAGTCATAATACAATTTTAAACAATACATTAAGTTTCAATTAAAGGAGCTTTTCCCTAAAATAAGCTTTTAGCTATTTTTCTTACTTATTAGCAATATTTAAGGCACTCAATATAGAAAGTCAATCACAGAGAACAATCTAATGATACCCAACATGCTACTGACATTAGCATTTTGGCTAATTTTAGCATACACACTCATTTTAACATACTGAATGGTTCAAGTCCATGTTAGTCAACATGCTTGTGATTCTCCACAGGCTATTGACAACAATTTAGCTAAGCTTAGCATCGACGCTAATTTTTAGCATCAAAACAATGGGTCCAAACCGATAGGCACACTTTGGCAGGATCCGGTGAAATTTCTTCAGAAATTTTCCAGTTCAGTTATAAAGTTTCAAAATTAAGTTGTTTTTTCAATAATACCCTAATTTATTGAACGAGTCTGTACAATTTACAATCAATATGATGAAATATGATGTCAAATAAACTCTTAACCAACAGTTTTTCTCACTATACATGCAGAAAAAAAATCCAATTAAATTATTGCAGATAATTTTGCACAAATTAGAAGATTGAAGGATGGGAACAAAATCTATAAAAATAAGTATTTTACATACTGCAGAACATGATGGCTACAGATGACTCCATTTCTTAATGTTGTTCCTTTTTGTCATTGTTACTTGCAGTTTTGTGCCCTGTTGATTTGTCTCGACTTGTTCTTTGTCAAACTGTTCCTCTGCAAGATGTCACAGTCACAGAAAAGTAAGCAGGGCGCTAATGTAACGTCTCACATTCAGATGTCCTCAGATCACACAAACCCTCCTCTAATGTCCTGCTTAGAGACACAAACAGCCATATTTACTCTCTGCTCCTCCACATAAACACTTTTACATGCACATGTTTGGGGAAGTGTAGATGAACGCTAGCATACGCACGAATAAAACATTAAATATCAACATGAAATCGCATCCAAAGCTAAAACTGACAGCAATTCCTAATGTCAGTTTTGCTCCAGAGAAAAAAAAATCTGTTGACATGGACTTTACTCAACAAAGGAATATTTTACACATTAAAAAGTGCAGATCTGTGCATCAATCTGGAAGAATCTTACACCAAATGTAGAAAAATCCCTTTTGATCCCCAAACACGGCTTCTTTCACAGACAAACACACAGCGCTTTTTCCAGAACCATGTCTTGCATTTCCTAACATTTGGCTCCATCTTTCACCACACAGGCACACGATTTTTATATTTGGTGCAGGAAGTCCTCACCTGTCCTGAGTCCAACCATAAAAAATTGGCCCTAATCCTGCCATATATATAGTGGTCCTGCCACTACTATATATATATATATATATATATATATATATATATATATATATATATATATATATATTATATATATATATATATATATATATATATATATAAATATTTCTGAGGGTTTTCTATTTTTTGTTTTGATTTTGGCTTTATAAAATTTTATAACAAGAATTAAAACTTCTAAATGTTTGACATCGTCTGGCAAAATATTTTTACATCAGGTTTCATGGCTTCTTTACTAATATATCAGTGAGCTGGTCTAAGCTGTAGTTGGATATACGTTGTTTGCTGCTGAGCATGATAATTTAAAGCAAACATTATTTGCTGTTAAAATGATTTGAAAGCTCAGAATCAGCCCAGAACCGGTCCACATTGTCAGGTGAGAAAGACTGACCCAATATAAATTACATTTCTAGCTGTTGTAATTACACCTAAGAGAAATTCATTTAATCAAATTATGTTATAAATATGTGTGTTTGTATTCCATATAGGGATGCACTGATTGCAGTTTTCTGGCCGATTAACGATTTTTAAAAAGCCTGACCTATGTTCTGATTTCGAATGATGCTTTTTTGTCTGATTTGTCACGAAATAAAGCCACAAAGTCACTGAGTTGCCAACAGGGGGGAGAGTATTGTGTTAACTGCCAACATGCAGACATTTCTCATGCAGGCTGATCTTCAAGGCTTTGCTGCAGCAGATAAAAAAATCACTAATCTCCCAAAATTCAAGAAATCGGTATTGATAGAAGCACATAAAGGTATATCATCACATTTAGACAGGTGTAATCTCTGCAGCTTCACATTCAGACACTGAATATCCTCAGATTCTCAGAAGACAAACTCAATAGTCAGTTCTTTAATCCTTAAACCCTCAGAAAGTTCAAAAAGATTTGCTAGAGACTAGATTTTATTCTGAAGATTATTCTTTTGGCTGTTTTCTGTATTTTTTCTTGGTTCTGTTTAGAATGATTGAAATGAGTAAACAGAACCTTCCTGAGCTCTGCTGGCTCCCCGGTCCGGTACCGACCCGGTCGCAGCTGACGCACGCCACCCGGCTGACATCCGCCGTGTTTAGCTGCGCCGCGCCGCCCACTCTTTTAACTCTGGATCTGCGCATTGGCCGCAGCGCAAAGAGCGCGGCAGCGAGCCGAGAAAGTGTCCTGAAAGCTGGGACGCAACCGAGCGCGGCAGCCGGCCAAGAAAAGCAAAACGCACAGGAGGGATTTAGTCAAGTGCTCATTTAAATATGAGTGAGCAACAGACTGAGGAATTTGAATAAGATTATAAAAGGAAGACCGAGTGGGATGAATTTCAGTGTTCAGAGCGTTACTTGTGTGTCTTCATTTCAGCCAGCAGCCTCAGAGGTGAGATAATGACTCCAACAAAGAGCAGGAGGGAGGAAGTTGGCAGCCCGTTTGCTCTGAACGCTTCTTATGGCACTGCTGCTCCTCCCCGCCAATTTAACACAACACACACACCAAACACAGGTAAACACACACACACACACACACACACACACACACACACACACACACACACACACACACACACACACACACACACACACACACTTGGATCTGGGTTAGCGGAGCATTGTATCTCAGTGCATCTCGCCTGCAGCGTCCACTGCAGTGCTACGCATTGCACCTCATTGATTAAACGTACAGACATCAACATGCATGAACTGTGCGTGCACTGCGTGTGTGCGTGCACTGCGTGTGTGCGTGCACTGCGTGTGTGTGTGTTTAGGTAGCCTTTGGGGATCTGTTTATAAATCTTCAAAGCCAGGATCAGCAGCAGGTTGAGTGAATTCACTGAAGGAGGGAGAGTGAGGCAGATGGAGAAGAAACGGTGATGGGGAGGGATCCAAAAAAACACAGCATGGCGGGTGGGAGAGCAGATAGGAGAGGGGAGTGTGTGTGTGCGTGTGTGTGAGAGTGCGTGAAGGCGTGTGTGTGGAGGGGAGATCCATCCACTAAGGCAGAAGTTTCAGCTCTGCGCTCCACACACAGCCAGGACGGAGGACAGAAAGCACTGACAGGTGAGCCGCCTCCGTCTCTTCCTCGTCCTCTTCATCATTCTGGGTGCAGAAGTTGTTCGGCTTCAGGTGTGAACGTTGTTGCGCTGAAGTTCTGGATCAGATCAGACACGGGAGTGTGCAGGAATGCAGCGTTTGTCTGATTTAAGAAGTGAGGGAGGAGATGTTCCAGATTTCTGCTGTTCTGTTCCTGGATGCTTTTCTTTAATCCTCTGTGCGCGCTGGCACAAAAGCACAATGCTGGCTGTGAGGACGGAGCAAGTCGTGCTGCGTCGGAGCAGCATGCATTATTTATCTGCACCGATCTCCAGAAGCAGCGATGCCCCTCCGGGGGGCAGCGGGGCTTCGCACACACTGCCATGTCCTCAGAGTGCTGGTATCTGGGATGATTGTTGAAGTGATGAAGTGTTGTGTGAGTGGAGAGCAGACGGACATCTTTTACATTGAGGAAAACCTTGCCCCGAGAGTTCTGTGTGTCAGGATCAGACATCATATGGATTATTAATCATCATATGGATTATTAATCATCATGCATGGGGGAGACATCAGAGAATCCCAGTGAGTGATCTTGAGGTGCAGAGATGTCCCTTATCTCCAGGCGGGAGTTCCTCTCCTTTTGTCTGCAGATCCTCTATCTGAACCCGCATCAGTGTTTGCGCCGCGCTCCGTTCAGGCAGCGCTAATCATCCGCTCACCGTGTCAGCGCATTTGTAAGCAGATATGCTTGTGTTATTAACAGCTTCTGTAGGAGTGTGTGTGTGTGTGTGTGTGTGTGTGGGTGTGTGTGTGTGTGTGTGTGTGTGTGTGTGTGTGTGTGTGTGTGTGTGTGTGTGTGTGTGTGTGCGTGCGTGCGTGTGTGTGTGTGTGTGTGTGTGTGTGTGTGTGTGTGTGTGTGCATCCTGCTTCTGAAGCCCTTCCTTACTGAGGGCTGCTGGCAGCTGCTAATGTCATGAGGGCAAACAAAGACAGCACGATTTATGAGACACAAAACACACACACACCTATACGCACACACGCACACCTACACACACGCACAGCACAGATGTAATAAACTTATATTCAGCACCTGTGAGCACAAGATGTGATTCTGAATAATCCGGACGGAAACACCTGAAGCTGGTGTATATTTTTTTTTTCGTATAATATGTGACAGAAGAGAAATATGTTTTATATTCAGACATTAAGAAAATTCAGGTGCATCATCAGCAAATGGAAGCATGCAGATAAACACAAACATGAAAAACTACACAGCTCTGGAAAAAATGAAGAGTCCGCTGCACTGGATCCCGTAACCTCCTGGTTTCCCACCAGATGTTGATCTCTAAACTTTTCCCGAGTTAAAACGTTAATATTGTTGTTCCTGAATGAAAATGAACTTGCTTGCATTATTTGAGGTCTGAAAGCACTGCATCTATTTCCTTTTCATTTTCTGCAAATAAATACTAAATGTTTGGTTGGAATTTCGGAGACATGCTGACAGTAGAACAAAGTTTGCAGTGGCCCCTTAATATGTTTCCTATATATTATTTTTCCTCAGGGAGTGATGTGCTGGGATTTTAGCCACTTCTCTGTCCCCGAGTCGACCTTGAACTACCAAAGTATTCCAGCGTCCATTATGTGATGCCAGCTTCTCCTTTCATGGTCATTAGCTGGGAAATAATCCAGAAACAGCTGCAACTCTTTAAAAATGGGATAAAAATGAAATAATAGTTCAGCCACCAACCTTAGAAACTCTTTACTGTGACTTTAAGATGACAGAAACAATCATGATTGTAAACCACTTTTTCTTCCAACGTTGAACAACACTGGAAGAAAAAGTGAGTCAAACTTTTCCCACTTCTGATTGTTTCTTTATAATTAAACATGTTTTTTTTCTGACAATTCAAACAACCCAAACAGAGTGAATAGTGTGAAACACATTCACTGAGGAAAGTTTCCATCATGGAACAAACCGCTGCTTCATGGTCAGGGATGAAACGAGGTCAAGAGACGTGAGAATACGGAAAAAATCTGCATAATCCGGTGCAGACATAAAAAAACATCTGATCAAAAAAAGACAAAGCTTTGTTCTAAATAAAGAAGCAAAGCTTTAACTTTATTTTTGTATCCCGCTGCTATAAAAGTGACTCCTTAAGTAGCAACAGATACAGGTTAACTCTTTATTTAAACTGTTGGTTTAATGACAAAACAGCATAAATAGTGAATATTGTTGGGCTTCTGGATATGTCCAAATCATGTTGATAGTAAAAGCACTAACAGAGACACTGAGATGTGTTTTCTATACAATAATTTGTGACACATTCTCAAAATGAGAAAGAAAACTAATATTTTCCTCAGTATAAACAGGAACATGTCTAATAAGAGATAATTTAAGCAACTTCTGCTGATTATCTCCCAATATTTGTGCGACACATTCTGTTAAAATGTTCTTTAATCAAAAGTTTCACCTTCTGAATGAAGGATTTTGTGTGCAGTGCATTCTGGTCCTTTGCACTGCAGCAGTTCAGCTTTTTCAGATTTCTCTTCCTTCAACATGTTTGCAGGAAAACATACATAATGCCGTATGTGTCACCATATTTTTGTTACCGGGGGAGGGAAGGAGGCTGCGAGCAAAAGTGCTTCACCATATCTGCTTCATCATCATCTATTGGCGAAATGAAAATCAGCAAAATTTCTGCCCTGTTCAGGGTTTTTTCATGTCTGTTTGCAGTTTTACCACACAAAAAAAAAAACGCTGTGCTGAGCGCAGCAGGCGGAGCAGCTAATTGTGTCATGAAGGGTTTACATTTATCAAGAGGTTCTTTGTGAACATCCAATAATCTGAACAGCTGGTGTGATGGAGGGCTTCATCTGCTGCTGCTGCACGACTTTCTGAAGTTTCGGACAATAAGTCATGTTTAATCAGCTTCTTGCAGCAACAGTTACTCTGGCAACATGCTCCAAATAAAGCTGAATGTGGATTTATTTTTTATTTATTTTTTGCAAAGATGCTTTTGCTGATGTCAAGCAGAGCTCTGCAAACAGCAAACTGAGCACTCAAAGCAGTTCACTCCAAGTTTCCCGAGCCTGAAAGCTCAAAGTGGATTCAGGGCAAAATAAAGCAGACTGAAATCAGAATGAGATTATTGACCAGCCTCAGGAAAGCACATATTTAAACAGGAGGCAGCGGGAGTGTGAGCATGAAGTGCGATGTGAGAAGTGGATGATGGGAACACAAGTCGGATTATTTTAAACTTCACACCTTGAGGTTTGGATCAGTGAGAGTAAACCCTGAGCAGAAAGAGACGACTGTGCTACAGCGGAGGACGCTTTGAGCAACACACTGTCACCATCTGATAATCCCTCAGTGCTACACTAATCTGGCTCCTGCAACATCCTGAAGATAACACACACTGTTTCCTGAAACTAAACGTCTGCCTCCAATACTACATGAAAAGAAATCCTGTGATTTTCTTATTGCTTGGAACAGAGCGCTGAGCCTTTCTAGCACATTGTGCAAATAACAACCAAAAGAAACAAATCCAGGAATCCCAGGTCCAGGTACGGATTCATTCACACCAGTCCTCTTTAGCTCGCTTTAGTCCAACTTCAGTCCAGTTTGTTTGGGTGCATAAACGAACTCTGGCTCGTCAACAAACCTCGGTTCGGTTGAAGTGAACTCCAGTGCAGTTCGAATGCAAACACCAAGCGGACTTTTGAATTCTGGGTAAATACAAGTAAAACAAACACGTTAGCTTAGCGATAGCCGTAGAAATGCCTTGTGGTCTATTACCAAAGACAACAGAGTAATCAGGTAGACTCAGTTTGATTGACAACTGAAATTGTAACATTGTTACTTTTTCAGCTGCTGCATTTTCTTTCACAAACCAACCAAAGTCGCCTGTTCCCCTCCATGCCTGTGGAGGCACTGTAACAAGAACCAGTGAAGGAAACGACACAGAAACCTCTGAAGACACTGAGCTCAACTTCCTTCTTCATGAAATATAAACAAAGATGGAGTGGCGTCAGATTTTAGCGGTTATAGGATTTCTCTTTTGTTTTTGTATAAGACCACAAGTCATTTTGTAACGTGAAGCTAAAGCGTTTGTTTTGTTTGTATTTACCCAGCAGCAGTCTAACTGCAGTGTAGTTAGACTGCAAAAGAGTTCACTTGAAGTGAACCGAGACCCAGGCGGATCACAGTTCGATTTCACATTCACATCTCCCCAAACGGACCGGCCTATCTGGGCAAACGGACTGGAGTTGGATTAAAGCGTCCGAAACCGGGCTGGTCTCATTTCATTCATCGATGTTGCAAAGCCAGAAGGAGAAGAAGCAGAGGATAGCAGAGAGTCGGTGTCCTGCCAGCAAACACAGCAGGGTTTGATCCATCCGTGACAGACGGGACACGGCGAGGCAGCAGACTGGACTCCCTGACTGCCGCTCTGGCTCATTACGAGTGTGATTACA